TACAAATGTTTCCTCTTCTCCATAAGTTTATTACCTGTAGTCTTATAAGAACTTGCATTATCTGTCATAATTTGTACAACCAAATGTTCTCCAACCTCATCAACAATGCTATCTAATAATCTAAATATGAACTCAACATCTTTGACCTGATCCGATGCTTCAATTGACCTTAAAAACACAGTATCATAAGGATTATTAATGAGGATGTTGATCAGACTTCTATGTTTGATATCAGACCACCCATCTGACATAATTGTTACTCCTGTTTTGGCCCAAGTCTTCTTAATTTCTTCAATGCTTTTATCAGTGCTTTCCAACTCCTTCAAAATCCATGTTCTTAAATTATACATGGTTGGAGGTTTGAACCCTCTTCCAAATGCTCCAACTGAATGAATCATGTTGTAATAAGCAGGTGATGTTGCAACATTAATTGGAATTGCATTTTCGTAGAAGAATCTGCCTATATTCTTACACACTCTTCTCCGCGCCTCTCTTGCATTTTCTGGGGCCATCTTCTGTGTAGTAGAAGGCCTATCCTCTGATGTGTCAACCATATAATGATCCATAGGCCCTCTAGCACCCCTAGATGAAATGGGCTTCATAGAAGAAGATGAATCCCTAACGCTGCGCTCACTCCCATAGTAAGATCCAGCATCAACTCTATCCTCAAATTGCTTCTGTGCAAGATGTTTTGATGTGGTAGACTTATTCATGTATGACTTTATCTCATCCCTTACAGCATCATGAACTTTGGAGTATGGAGCAACATTCTTGTGAGAGCCTGAAAGGTGTTCCTTCATCCTAGTCACACCACCTTTCACAACTTTATCACAGTAATTGCATTTCAGATAGACATATATTTTATCACTTTCTCCTACATCCACCTGAGTGCTATATTTCCATAATGCATCTTTTCTATGACCTGATGCAGCCTTATCCTTATTTTTGACCATCCTGATTGAGAGAAATAGGAAGCAAACGAGTTTTTACTAATCTTTTATATGACCTGATGCAGGTTAGAGGAGACAGCAGCCTCGGACAGAAGCGTATGCTGGTCGGACGGAGAAGAC